CCGGGACAGGGACAGGGACAGGGACAGGTCATCCAAGAAGGCTCGGCCTCCCAAGGAGTCGGCGCCCTCCTCGGGGCCCCCGCCGAAGCCACCGGTCAGCAGTGGCTCGGGCTCCTCCTCCTCCTCCTGCTCGTCTTCCTCCCGGAAGGTGAAGCTGCAGTCCAAGGTGGCGGTGCTGATCCGCGAAGGCGTCAGCAGTACCACGCCAGCCAAGGAGGCGGCGTCGGCCGGCCTGGGCTCCATCGGGGTCAAGTTCAGCCGCGACCGGGAGAGCCGCTCCCCCTTCCTCAAGCCCGATGAGCGGGCCCCTGCAGAAGTGGCCAAAGCAGCTCCGGGCAGCACCAAGCCCAAAAAGACCAAGGTCAAGGCCAAGGCCGGGGCCAAGAAAGCCAAGGGGACCAAGGGAAAGACCAAGCCATCCAAGACCAGGAAAAAGATCCGCGGCGGGGGCAGCGGTGGGGGCGGCGGCGGCCCTGTGACGCTGAAGAAGTCCAAGGCGGACAGCTGCAGCCAGGCGGCGGGGGCCAAGGGGGTGGAGGAGACGTCCTGGTCCGGGGAAGAGCGGGCAGCCAAGGCCCCCAGCACCCCGCCCCCTAAGGCAGCCCCTCCGCCCCCCGCGCTCACGCCGGACTCGCAGACCGTGGATAGCAGCTGCAAGACACCCGAGGTCTCCTTCCTTCCTGAAGAGGCCACCGAGGAGGCTGGGGTCCGAGGTGGGGCGGAGGAGGAGGAGGAGGAGGAGGAAGAGGAGGAGGAGGAGGAGGAGGAGGAGCAGCAGCCCGCCACCACCACAGCCACCAGCACGGCTGCAGCCGCCCCAAGCACTGCCCCTAGCGCGGGGTCTACAGCCGGTGACTCGGGGGCAGAGGATGGGCCAGCCACCCGTGTCTCCCAGCTGCCCACGCTGCCCCCGCCCATGCCCTGGAACCTGCCTGCCGGTGTGGACTGCACCACCAGCGGCGTCCTGGCCTGTGAGTGTGCCCTGGGGCCGGGGCCGGGGGGGCGGGGGCCAGGCTGGGGCAGAGACAGGGTTGAGAGGATGAGGTTGAGGGGGGACAGACTTGGAGGCGGTGGAGCTGCCTTGGAAGGGGTCGGGGTGTAGTGTCCCAGGCTGTGAGGGCCTTGGGTGGGTGAGGGCTGGATCAGGGTCTGTCCAGGAGGCTCGGCGGTGCCTGGGGGTGCTGGGAGAGGGCAGGCCGATGAGTGCGGGGCGGCTAGGCCTGCGCAGACCGGAGGGGTCGGCCGTGTCCTGGGGGCCGCCTGGAGGCAGACTGGGATAAGCGAGGCGGTAGAACGACCAGAAAGAAGGGGGTGAGCAGGGAGCCGTGTCTCTTGGCGGGTGCCAGTAGGCCACAGGGGGCTCGAGACAGAATCTCATCTCCGCCACCACCTTGTCCCTGAGTGACCTGGCTGTATTGCCCCCTGACCACACACGTACCTTACGTCCTAAGAACGGGGTCAGGGGTTGCAGAGTGGTTCTCTCAGTGGCTGAGGCCCCCTTTTCCCAGCTCTGAGCCCGAGACCCATGGCCTCTCTAGGGGCCGCCCAGGGTGGGGGATGGCAGCAGGGGGCCAGGTGACGCTCACTGGCCCCTCTCGTGTTCAACTCCTGATCCCCTTGTTCTCAACTGTCCACCTTTTGCAGTGACTGCACTTCTCTTCAAGATGGAAGAAGCCAATCTGGCGAGCCGAGCAAAGGCCCAGGAGCTGATCCAGGCCACCAACCAGGTGGGCCCCCCCGGGGGGAAGAGTCTCCACAGTCCCTTCCCTTGTCCCCTGACTCTGGTTAGGGGAGGAACTGCAATTCCCAGCAGGCCTTGGGACAAGGAAGGGATTGGCCAGAAGAGGAGCCTCTGGCCCCTGGGACTCTTGGGAAACCGGGGTGGGAATAATGGGGGTGCACGGTCCCCCCTTCCCCTCCCTTTGTTCATCCTCCAACCTCTTCCCACAGATCCTCAGCCACCGAAAGCCACCCTCTAGTCTGGGGGTGACACCAACTCCTGTGCCCACGTCTCTGGGTCTGCCCCCTGGCCCCTCCAGCTACCTGCTCCCTGGCAGCCTCCCCCTGGGGGGCTGCGGCTCAACCCCTCCCACCCCCACTGGGCTGGCTGCAGCATCCGACAAGCGAGAGGGCAGCAGCAGCTCCGAGGGCCGTGGGGACACAGACAAGGTGCGCTGGGCTTGGGGGAGGTGGGTGGCTGGTGGCAGCTTTGCAGAGAATGGGAACAGATGCTGAGACACAGGGGCCCAAGGAGGACAGGAGACTGATGCCAACAGGCGGGAACTTAGAGCCAACCAAAGTCATTAAATTGTAAGGAACTCGACTTTCCCTCAAACGGATGAGCGGGAAATGCGCGCTGGGCAGGTTTTTTGTTGTTGTTGTTTTTTGTTTTTTTTTAATTACGTGCACGTAGAGAGGGGGAGAGGTACAGAAATACAAGGACGTAAGCGCACCCGTGTGCCGACACGCACCCGTGCGACTGTGTACTTCGTGGTTACTCCTATCCCTGCCTCCCGTCTTTCTGGGTAAGAGGGAGGGCGGTTTCCAAAAGGAAGATCAGGCATCTGTTGTAGGGCAGGAGGAAGAGTGGTTGCCAGGCAAATTCGAACAGGTTTTTCTTCAGCTGCATCTGGCTCCTGCCCGTGGGCCTCAGGGAGATTTTCCTTTCGGTCACGTCTGGATGTTTTCCTGTCCTGGTCCAACAGCCCGTTGCCCGGAAGATGGCATGGCCCACCTCTTACTTCGTGTACATTTTGTGCAGGCAGTGGACGTGTGGTTCCTGGTCCAGGGCCACCGGGGAGGGCCCAGGGTCCAGCCTAGCGGATGCGCAAGTGACGTTCAGAGGCCCAGCCTGACCCGTGGTCTGGGGTGACTGCAGCAAGGGGAGCGCAGGGCAGAGGCTGAGCTGGCAGGCAGGGGAGGGGAGGCCAGGGCTTCTGCAGGAACTCATCTGGCCTTTGCCGTCCCTTCTTCGCACGCTGTTGCCACCTCTGTCAGTATTTGAAGAAGCTGCACACACAGGAGCGGGCGGTGGAGGAGGTGAAACTGGCCATCAAGCCGTACTATCAGAAGAAGGACATCACCAAGGAGGAGTACAAGGACATCCTGAGGAAGGCTGTCCACAAGGTGGGGCCCGGCGGGGACAGGTACACAGTACACAGAGGTGGGGAGAGCATGAGAAGGAGAGACGGACACGCGCACACCGATGTCACACAGACGGGGAGCCGGGAGTGGCGGGTCCGTCTGGAAGGCGAGGAGGGTGACAGGATTTGCTCAGGCCCGCCGGGGCCTATCCTGCTGGCATCATGGGCACAAGTAGGGGCGTAGGCCTGGAATTGGGGGGGAGCAGCTCCCATCCTGGTTGCAAGCTGTGCTCAGCAGTCCAGGTGGAGGGGACCCTGGGGGTGACCGCAGCTGCCCCTCACTCCCTAGATCTGCCACAGCAAAAGCGGGGAGATCAACCCAGTGAAGGTGAGCAACTTGGTGCGGGCCTACGTCCAACGCTACCGCTACTTTCGCAAGCACGGCCGCAAGCCAGGCGACCCCCCAGGGCCCCCACGACCGCCCAAGGAGCCCGGGCCCCCTGACAAGGGTGGCCCAGGCCTGCCCTTGCCCCCTCTCTGAGACCCTCAGCCACCCCTTCCCTTCTTCGCCTCTTTGGAATTCTGGACGTATTTATGGCTCCACCTCCCCACTTCCCTCCCCCCATCAGTGGGATGATTGGGGGAGGGTTGCTGCAGGGAAGAGGAGAGCCCCCTGCCCTGCCGCGCCCTGTGCCCCGTGCCCCCAAGCCTGTCCCCATTGCCCCTCCCTTCTGTTTGTGCCCCTCCCCCAATTTCATTAAAGATTTCATGAAATGTTAGCCCTCAGCCCCATGATTTTAGCCCTTTCTTTTCAGAGACTGGTTTGGGAAAGGGTTGAGAAGAGATACGCAGGCGCTCTGGCCCAAGTCTGAGGGTGGTTAGCAGGTTGTGACTCGGGGCAAGTGCATTTGCCTCTCCGGGCCTCAGTTTTCCTGATCTTTGAAGTGGGCGTTGGAAGGATGAAGACCCAGGCAAGTGAAGGACTTAGAAGCATACCTGGTACATAGTCAGCCGCTGCTCTTGACAGAAAGTGGTGGTGGGTGGGGTGTTGGGGTCCCAGGTTCCACCTGCTCAGGGTCTTCTACGCTCAGGGCACCTGGGTGCTATCGGTCTGCCCTGCAATTGCCCCAGCAACAGGATGTTTGTCCCCCAATGAGTTGGATTCTCTTTTTACCAGTGCTATGAGGCGGGGGTGATCTTACCCACTCTCCTGGGATAGAGAGGGAAACTGAGGCACAGAGCAGCAGGGGCCACACAGTGAGTCAGGGCCACACTGGCCTCCATCAGTCCCCATTACCCCGAACCCAGACCTAGTGAGGAGAGGTGGTAACACCGGGGTCACTGGGGTGGGCGGGCTTTAAGGCTGGGGCACAGAACTCTTGTACAGTTGCCTGTTCCAGCCCCGTGCAGAGGGGGGCCTACGGCCTGGAAAGCAGGACTTGCCTGAGGTCGCCCAGCAGGAGCTGGGAGGGGACCTAAGCCCCCCCCCCCAGCTGACAGGATGATCCAGGTGAAAGGCTCTTTGCCTACTGCACAGTGGCCTGGACTGTCCGTAGACAAGACGGGGGTTCTAGAGTCTGCCCCAGGGCCTCCCTTGGAGAGCAGCAACCCTGGAGTCCGACTGCATTCTCACCCCTCTTGTCTCCTGCTTTGTGACCTCTGCTCTTCTAGTGTCAATTTCTTGGTCTGTAAAATGGGGGTGACTGTCACCTCCTCACCAGGTCCCTGGGAAGAGGTAAGGAGGTGACAGCTGCCCCCTGCACAGTATCTGGTCCTCATGCAGGGAGCATCTGGGTTGTGGGTTGCTTGCACAGATGTGTAAGCTGAGGTCCTAAGAAGGAATAATGCCTAGCCTACGTCAGGGGCTAGCGTTAGCCTGGACCTAGCTAACACCCAACACCAGACACACAAGTGGTGACAGTGGCAAGAAACAGTTTATTGGCCAAGGTGAAGGCACGAGGGGGCAGCACCCGTGAGGAGTGAGGGGTCAGACCTCCCGAGTGACCTAGAAATCCATGTCCTCGACCAGGTCCTGGAGGTAGGCCTTGTACTGGTCTGAGGTGAGAGTGAATGGGTAGCTGTTGGAAATGTGCAGGTCCACAGTGTTCTCCAGTGAAGACGCGCCCCCTGACCGTGCCATGTCCAGCAGGGCCCTGAGGCACGTGGGAACAACCTGCGGGAGGTGGGGGGAGAAACAGGAGTCAGGGGAAACACTCAACACTATGTACTGGCAGGAGTGGGGTTGAGCGGACTACAGCTCCCCAACTGCCCCCACTATAACCCAGGATGAACCATTAGGCCCAAGGCTGCTGGGAGTTGTAGTTTTCCCCATAACCACAACCACCAGAGGCCTGAGAAGTTTCCTAGGGCTGAGATGCTGGAAGGGTTCCCAGAAGCTAGGGCTGAGCAGCTTGTGATCAAAAGGACTCCTAGGAGCTGTAGTTCCTCACAGAGGCTGCTAGGACTTGTAGTCCACCGACTTCCATGTGGCTCTGAGAGTTCAAAACAGGTTCTGGGGGTGAGGCCATGAGAAGGACACCCACAAGCTCCTGGGGATGAGGAACTGGTGGTTGCAGAGACTCTTGGAAGTCGTAGTTCCTCAGAGGGGCTTCTGGGAGTTGTAGTTCCTCCTCCCTTTGTTAAGATCCACCCCTTAGCTCCAGGAGCCCAGGACTGCAGCACCTTGACCATCACGAGCTTCTTGGTCCATGGCTGGTCCTGGGGCCATGGCTCCCCCACGCAGAACCAGAGAGTGTAGCGTGGTGAGTGTCGGCTTCCTTCGATGAAGGCAATCAGATCTGGGGGCCCGAGATCCTAGTCAGTCATGGGAGGAGGACCCCCCACCACCACCACCTGCCCCTCCCTGCCGCCCAGACCTGTCAGCCTCACCTTCTCCCCTGACCCGAAGCCTGACATACCTACACCACCATGACTAGATGGCTGCTGACCTAGGAGAAGTCCTGGCACAATCTTAAATGCTTTTCCTCCCACCATCAGGGTGGGGCTGGAAGATCTGCACCGCTCCCCTATTGGGGATAGGAAGGAGTACACTCCCCACAAGGACGGTCCCTGATTCTGGAGTACAAGGTGGTTGGAGTACAAGGTGGTTGGAGTACAGGTGGTTGGCAGTTGCTACTCTTTAACCCCCGAAGGCCACATTCCAGTAGCCTCTAGCCACTGTGGCTATTTCCATTTAAATAGTAGCTAATTAAAAGCAAATACAATTTAAAACTCCCTTCCTCAGTTGCATGGCCTAAGTACTCAATAGCCACACGTGGCTGGTGGATACCAGATAGGACAATGCAAATCCAGAACAGCCCCATCACTGCAGAGGTATCTATTAGATAACAAAGCCCTAAAGGACTTCTCTCTCCTGCATCTGTCTACCCACACTATTAACTGGTAATAATGAGGACTATGGCAGTTAATTCCTCAAGCACTTTCTGCACACTGGGCCCTGTGCCCCCTACCAGCTCCAGCAGAGGAGACACTCCTCGGGCAGACTCAGAGCAGTCCCATCTTTTGCCCCAGGTTATAGCACAAAGCAAAGCAGCAGGGTCTGAATTGGAACTCTGGGGTCTGGAGGTTTGAAATCCTTTTTTTTTTTTTTTTTTTTTTTTTTTAGAGAGGGAGAGAGAGTGGCAGGGAGGGGCAGAGAGAGACGATTTTTTTTTTTTTTTTAAGATTTTACTTATTTATTTGAGACAGAGAGGGAGCACAAGTGGGGAGGAGGGTCAGAGGGAGAGGAAGAAGCAGACTCCTTGCTGAGCAGGAAGCCGATATGGGGCTCGATCCCAAGACCCCGAGATCATGACCTGACCTGAAGGCAGACGCTTAACTGATTGAGCCACCCAGGCACCCCGAGAGAGAGAGAGTCTTAAGCAGGCTCCGCGATCAGTGCAGAGCCCAACCTGGGGCTTGATCTCACGACCCTGAGATCATGACCTGAGCTGAAATCAAGAGTCAAACGCTTGGGGCACCTGGGTGGCTCAGAGGGTTAAGCGTCTGCCTTCAGCTCAGGGGATGATCTCAGGGTCCTGGGATTGAGCCCCCATATCAGGCTCCTGGCTCAGCGAGGAGTCTGCTTCTCCCTCTCCCTCCGCCTCTCTCCCCTGCTCATCATATTCCCTCTCTCTCTCTCTCTCTGTCAGATGAATAAAAAAAAAAAAAAGTGTCAACACTTAACCTACTGAGCCCCCCAGGCGCCCCCAGTGACTGACCTACTCTTCCCACAGCGGAGCTATAAGGCCTTGCCTCACTCACCTGACACGAAGGGCCTCAGGTTGAACACGTCTCCTTCCTCATCCTTGGGGACCTCGCCGCTGGGTCCATGACGGCTGTCAGGGAGGAGCTCCTCGCCCAAGGCCCAGTATGTGTGACAGTGCCCCAGCCTCCGGGCCCAGAGCCGCTGTCCTGCCCTGCACAGAGCTAGTCCCCCGCCCAGGCAGCTCAGCACACGCCTCACGTAGCCCATCACGCCCCTGTCTGTCAGCGACACCCCAGGGTCTGGCAGTATTATTGGCTGTCCAGGCAGCGTCCTGTCCCCTGCCTCTGATGCTACCAGCCGCAGGCCCCTCGGGCAGAAGACAGTCTGCTGGAAGACTTGGCGGCCCCGGTAGAAGGCAGTCACCTCGAACTCCCACTCTGAGCAGTGGCAGAAGTGACATGAAGGGGGAGGAAGATTGAGAGAGCATTAGGGGGCACAGCGCCCCAGGCACCTCCCACCCCGCAGCTGGCACTCACCTTCCTCGGGCAACAAGAGCTGCCTCAGTGGGTTTTCAGGGGGCTCCGAGTTTGGGCAGGGAGCAGGGATGTCTATGGCGGGGCTCAGCAAGAATGGAGGGGTCTGCTCAGGGACCACAGCCAGGCTCGAGGGCCCCCCTTCTGGGAATGGGGCCAAGACCATGTCACTCAGTAACTCTAGTATATCTTCCTGGAGAGAAGAAAAAAAGAAAAGGATCTGGACATTTCCGTAGCCTTTTCTAGAGACTTCATGTGGACCAAGGCCTTGGGACCCAGAGAGGAGTCAGACCTGAGCTTTGCCCTCAAGGGGCTTCCTGTAAGCGGGGCTGGGGGGGCGGGGAGACAACCATGGGCACAGACAGCAAAATACATGCTCTGGTATATGCTAAGTGCGACTGTTGGCCCCAGGGGAGCAGCTAATTCCAGCCCCAGGAGCTGGCCTTGTGCAACCAAGAGCTGGGCAGAGAGGGCTGGACACAATTTCAGAGGGGACTTGCCCTGGCACAGACATCAGCAAGATCAAGGGTAGGGTGGTTCAGGGTTCCCAAGAGGCTGAAGGTACTCTAAATAGCAACGGAGGCTGTGAAATTCTGCGAAGGTGTCTTAGGGTACTAACTGCCTGGTGAAAGTTCTGAACTTTCTCCTGAGGACGCTGGAAGCCATGGAAGGGCTATGAGCAGGGGAGAGACAGGGTCAGCTCTAGATGGGTTGGGCGACAGCCTGCAGGGGAGAGGGTGGAGGCTCAGGAGGAAGACTGGGGTGATGGTCCAGGAGGAGAAGGGGATGCCCGAACAGGGCCATGGGGACACAGAGAGAAGATGGGTCAGAGTGAGGGCAGGGGGGTCGGCGTGCCTTCTTACCTGGGTATCCGAGGTACTGCACCTGCCATTGGCGTCCGGAGAGGTGTCCAACTCAGAGAAGTTCCCAGCTCCTGTCGAGGACGGTGGTGAGTGGAGTAGGGTGTTGGGGACGCTCAAAATCCCACCCCTCCACGTGAAACCCCACTTCTGGCACACCTGAGATCACAAACTCATAGACCTTGTGCGGGTCCTGGGGGTCCTTGCTCCGATCCTCGGCTAAACGCAACCCCTCCTTCCGGTTCAGGGCCGATCGGAAATTCCTCTTCCAGGTGGGCAGATCAGGTTTATCCTTTCCAGGAGTGTAGGCCCCGCTGGCCTCCGCCCACGCCTGGGGGTCCAGGGGGTACCAGGAGAACGAGGAGGATGACTAAGACCACGCCCCAAGGGTTCGCTCCCCGGACACGTTCTAACTCGGCACTGATCCATCCCCAAACTCTTGGCTTCTCTGCATCCTAAGGCCCTCTAACTTCACCGTTTGAAAAGCTTTGCTTTCTAAGTCAGCCCTCCGGGTCCTACTGGGTGTCTAACTCGGCCACCAGCCTGCCCCAGGACACCTTCTGTAGTAACCCCGCCCCCTCGCGCTCTAACTCGGGCTACCACCACTGCTGTATCCTAATTTGGTGAGAAATCACCTCAGCCTCGGGGCCACGTCTCGCCTCTAAGGTTCTGAGACCCGCCCCCAGAATGCTAGGACCGAGAGACCCGCCCCCTGCGAGCCCAGAATGCGCAGTTTGCATTTCTTTCGAGTTCTAACCCCGCTTTTCCGGTTCTTTTCTCGGAACCCGGCCGCTCCAACCTTGCCTGCTGTCCGACACCAGTCGGCTGATCCTACTAACCCTTCCCAGTCTTGTCCTAACTCCACTCACCTCCACCTGCCGGCGTCAGCGCCTGCCAACCGCACGCGTGCGAACCCCGCTTTCTCGGCTCCGCCCCCTGCAAGTCCACCCCTCCCGGCTGTCAGCTCAGGGTTCCCCGCGTCCGGGAAGCTCACGCACCTGGAAGATGCCGAAGTCCTCCTGCTGGGCATCCTGCCGCAAGCCGTGCTTCCAAGGGATGCGGAAGCGCGTGCGTCTCTCGTCCAGCCAGGCTACCCCCTCCAGCTGCCCCAGGTCCAGCTGCGACACCAGCCAGGGCAAGATCCGTGGCTTTGGGGTTCCCATGGTCCGGCCTGCGCTTAGAGGGCAGTTCGTGGGCGCGGATGGCCTCATAGGCCCACCCGGCCCTAGGGTTCCGCACCCAGACCTTCCTCTCTTGGGGACGCGGTGCAATGTCCCTCACTTATGTTTTCCTGGGGTATAAAACAAGACACCTCCTCTTTTCATCCTCCAGACAGGCTCCCCCAATTCATCGAGGACTTCCTCCCCAATGCATTCGAGACCCCCCCTTCTTTCCCCACCTTCTTCTGTGCAGACCCTCTAACCTTCCCAATTCCGCCAGCGTAGATCCTTCCCTCTTCCGTTGTAAACACTTTTCTCCTCTCCCCTCCCCCACATCACCCAATGCAGTTACCTTCACTTCCAAGGTAGAGCCTCCCCTAGTTATTTCAGGGCAGACGTTATTCACTTGTAGATCTCTACCTCCCGCACTTAACCGTGTTGGACAACCCTTCTACAATTCCCCCACAGAAAGGCCCCTCACCCATTTCCACCGTAGACCCTCCATCCACCATTCCCCCCCAACAGCCTGCCTTCTGTAGGGCGCGCGCGCGCGCGCACACACACACACACACACACACACACACACACTTTATAGAGTGGACTGCCTCCCGTTTTCAGGGTCCACTCTTCTCTCCCTTAGATCCCCCAGTGCAGACGCCTGCCCTCCCCCCACTCCCCGCTACTTTTTCTGGGTTTTTTTTACAGCCGACCTCCAGCACCGGCCATTGCTTCACTTTTTCCCCTCGTTTCTTCACTTTCCCTAGAGTACACAATGCCCCTCTGGACTCAGGGCAGATCCTTTCTTTCTCGCGCTTCTCGGCCCGGACGCCACCAATTCCCCAGATCCTCCCTGTTACCTACGTAGAGGGTCGGGGCGCGCAGGGTGCTAGGACCCACCCCTGCGTTTTGGGGTCCGATAGCTCTCGAACTTGAAGCTGCACACCCTCCTTCCTGTCAGCTGAGCTTCAGAGCAATGCGGTTTTCTTTTCTATCGATTTCACGAAATAAAAACAACTTTATCCGCGGTGGGTTGACAGGCTCTCTACAGCTAAACAGGCGGCACCGAGAGCCCGCACGCCCTCCCCCATGCCCTTTTTAGGCCTTCCGGCCAATGGCATGCTGGGAACGTCACATGCAAATTAGATGGGCATCCCGCGCTCCGCCCCTCCCACAGTAGGGCCGTCACCAACTCGGACCAGTGCGCAAGCGCGGGAGAGTTGCCCTAAAGAAAGTTTTTGCAAGTTTAGTAAAGGAGGAGGGGGTGGCGGCTCCGGCCCCAGGTAAGCCGGGCCTTTGGGAGGGCTGGGGTGAGAAGGGAAAAGGCCGGGATCTCGGGGCCGGCACCTCAGTGCCGCTTCCCCGACATTCATGCGCCCCGTGTCCCCAAGATTCCAGCCTTGGTCAGATAAGGAAACTACACCTCCCAAACCGGCTGCGCGGCTAGCTAGTGCGGACCGAGGGGAAGGTTTGCCGTGAAGCCTGCTGGAATTCGTAGTTCCCGATTCTCTAAGAGCTTGAGCAGCTTGGCATATGCCTTCAGAATCCAGAAGTCGGAGCCCCAAGTCCTCTTATCTCTCAGACTCAAGAATTCAGATCCCCCCAACCCCCTTCTCCGAAAACTCGAGTCCAGACCCCAGTCCCTTTCTCCCTTAGACCACGGAATCCGGGTCCCCAGCCTCTTCCTCTCCAAGGATCAAGGAGTCTTCGACCTCATCCCTCTTCTCCCTCTGAGGACTCAAGAGTCTGGGTTCCCAGCCCCTAACTCCCCTAAAGGACTTAGGAGTTCAGACTCTCAGCCCTTTCTTCCCTTGGGGACTCACGGTGCCTGGCCCCCTCCTTATTCAGGGACTAGGCATTTGGGCCCCAATCCTCCACCTCAGTTCAACCCTGGAGTCCATCCCCCGGCTTCTTTCACAGGTGCCCCATGGCAGGCTCGGAAGAGCTGGGCCTCCGGGAGGACACGGTGAGAGTCCTAGCTGCCTTCTTTAGGCGAGGTGAGCCTGCCGGGCCCCCCATTCCAACCCCACCCAGGTAAGAGGAGTTGCCCTCCTCCCTCAGGGGCCTGCATCTGGGGTAGGGCCCTCTCTAACTTCGTGCCTGGTCTCAGTCTGTGTGCGGTTCCCCGCTCTTTATATCTGGCTCTTTTCCTCATCCCTGGGGTTGCAGCGAGAGGCCCTCCGTGGGAGGAAAAAGGGGCTGCTTGCAAAGGAGCCTCTGGGGTCACTCTCTGAGGTCCCCTTCCCCAGGAGTCCTGTCCAGGAGGAGCCAACAGATTTCCTGAGCCGCCTTCGAAGATGTCTTCCCTGCCCCCTGGGGCGAGGAGCCGTTCCCCCTGAATCCCCTCGGCCTTGCTCCCTGCCCCTCCGCCCATGCTATGTTTCAGAGCCTGGTAAGAGATTTCCCTAGATCACCCATGAACTTGCAGGGCCAGAGCTTTGATTTTTTATTTTTTATTTTTAAGAAGCTTTGATTCTTAAAAGCATAGAAAGGATAAGGAGCTAGCCCAAGATCACTCAGCTAAGAGGGGAGCTGAGTGGGGACTACCCTCACCATTCCCTGCTCCTCCCACCCCCAGTTACATTGCTGTCTGTCAGTTCTGAGAGCTGGCTTCACAGGGGGGCTTTTGGTCCCTTTCTGTTTGTTATCTCTCTCCTCCCATGCATGCTTCCCTACCCCTGGGACTTTGTGGCCACCAGTACCCTCAGTAGGGAGGCAGGAGATCTGGTTTTCAGTCACAGCTCCCTGGCTGTTTGGTTACATGACTCTGGAAACTCCTTTTCTTTCTTGCTCCTATACTTCTCCAGAAGCCAAGTAGAAATGTGTGCACGTGTGTGTGTGTGTGGCGGGGGGCGGTGTCCTTGGACTTGATCAAGAGTAACCAAAAGGTTTCCTCTCATATGTGAGACTTGATAGACTAGTAATGGCTACCGGGAGCGCTAGCTTGAAAAGGATTTCACACCTGGGGAGAAGAGTTCTGTGATCAGTTGATGACGCCTGAAACCAGCAAGGGATAGAATGGTAATAGTTGGAGTGCCCTGTGTTTGCCTTTCTTGGATAGGATCATCTTCAAGGTCTAGTTCAGCTCTAACATTCTAACTCTAGTTTGAAGGACACAATAAAATGGAAAGTATCAAGGCCTTTTACCGAGTGTGCTCACTGGGCCCCATTATGAAATGGAAATCATTGCTACCTGGCAAGGTGGTTGGGACAAGAAGAGAATCCATAACTTCCTGATGTCCCGGAGACCCATCATTGGCTCTTTTCACCCAAGGCCCAGCTACTCCAGATTTCTATGCTCTGGTGGCCCAGCGGCTGGAACAGCTGGTCCAAGAGCAACTGAGATCCCCACCTAGCCCAGGTGAGGTACCGAGGGGCCCCGGAGAAGGATGAGGGCAGAAGGGTGGGCAGGGTTCTGCCCCCAGCTGAATTCTCTTCTGCCCCCCCCCCCAGAGTTACAGGGAGCCCCACCCACAGAGAAGGAAGCCCTACTGCGGAAGCTGGTGGCCTTGCTGGAGGAAGAGGCAGAAGTCATCAATCAGAAGGTGACAGGCAGTCTGTTCCATCCCTTAGCTAGGCTAGGGATTGCGGATTCTTGGGCACTGGGATCAGAACCTGGATCTGCATTCTCATTAGATGGTCAGGTGAGGAGGGTGGGACTAGGCTTCTATGAAGGGTTTGTAACGGGGTCCAAGCTCATTCTGCTCCCAGCATCACAGGCCAGTGAGCCGAGAGGCAAGATGTTGGGGTAAGGAGAGCAACTTTATTTGGAAAACCAGCACACAGAAGAGATGGCAGACAAGAGATGGCAGACAATCGTCTCAAAGAACCGTCTCCCCCAGCATGAGATTTGAGCTTCTTTTATGTTAGGAATGGGGGAAGGGGGAGGGGATTGGAGTCAAAAAGTGACTGACGTCAGTAGACAACAGAGGAAGGTTGTGTAACTTCTTTTGTCCTTGGTCGGTTTTGTTTGTTTGTTTGTTTTTAAGAGGTTTGGGGGCACTTGGGTGGCTCAGTCGTTAAGTGTCTGCCTTCAGCTCAGGTCATGATCCCGGGGTCCTGGGACCGAGTCCCGCGTCGGGCTCCCTGCTCAGGGAGTCTGCTTCTCCCTCTCCCTCTGTCTGCTGCTCCCCCTGCTTGTGTTCTCTCTCTCTCTCTCTTTCTGTCGAATAAATAAATAAAACCTTTTAAAAAATAGGGGCACCAGGGTGGCTCAGATAGTTAAACGTCTGCCTTCAGCTTGGGTCATGATCCCAGGGTTCTGGGATCGAGCCCCACATCTGGCTCCCTGCTTGGCGGGGGCCCTCCTTCTCCCTCTCCCTCTACTGTTCCCCCTGCTTGTGCTCTCTCGTTCTATCAAATAAATAGATTAAAAAATTTAAAAAACCTTTTAAAAAATAAGATAGAGAGGTTTTATTTATTTATTAGAGATTTTATTTATTTATTTGAGGGAGAGAAACAGAGAGCACGAGCAGGGGGGAAGGGAGAGAGAGAAGCAGACTCCAGGCTCAGCGGGGAGTCTGATGCGGGGCTTGATCCCAGGACCCTGAGATCATGACCTGAGCGGAAGGCAGGCCCTTAACTGACTGAGCCACCCCGGCGCCCTGTCCCTGGTCACTTGATCTTTGTGTACAGGTCATGTGTCGTTCCTATAAATCTTCCATAGAGCATAGTCATTTCTGTAAGTACTTCCTTATCTCCTCTGGGGAGGCAGATTTCCGGTAAAAAAGCCGTTTTTGAGAATCTTAGCTGTAACATGCCTACGTGCAGGGCTAAGCAGAAGCTTCTAAACTATAGGTCCCATCAGGAAGGGAAATAGAAGCAGTATGGAGTCAGACGTGCTAAACTTCTCCGCTACAGGTTGAACGACAGAGTTGTGGTCAGGGTAGTACCTTAAACCCTGGCTCGCAGTCACCGTCAGAGGGGCGTGGCCTAAAGACAAGGGGTGTGGCCACCCGAAACATGATCTGGGAAACTGACTGGGACCAGTTGAGGAATTAGGGACTGTATGGTGGTGGGCGGGGAGTTGGTTTGGAGAGTGCTGTCTAAAATCTGAAGCCCTGGGCGCCTGGGTGGCTCAGTTGGTTAAGCGACTGCCTTCGGCTTAGGTCATGATCCTGGAGTCCCGGGATCGAGTCCCATATCGGGCTCCCTGCTCAGCAGGGAGTCTGCTTCTCCCTCTGACCCTCTTCCCTCTTGTGCTCTCTATCTCTCATTCTTTCTCTCTCAAATAAATAAATAAAATCTTTAAAAAAAATTAAAAAAAATAAAATCTGAAGCCCTGGTTAACTATATAGGGGTATGCCTTAGAATGTTGGGGGAAATGAACTGCCGGCTCGGTCCTGGAACTGGATTGGCTCGGGAGCTTGGGCAAAGTGTATGGTCCTATAATATCAATTGTACGGTGGAAGGCAAGGTTGTAGGCACTGGCCTGGTCTCCGAGGCTCTCAGGGAACCTGTAGGGGGCGTGGCTATAAGATCTGTATTCTAGAACTCAGCTAATTAGGGCTTGGCCCTCATTGGCTGTCGGCCACCTTTCTAGGGGTAGTTTGGCAGAGCACAGATTCTGGTTTATGATTGGCTGGTGTGATGGATGGGGCGTGGCTTTGAGCCTCTGTCAGGACTGCTTCCACGAGGAAGCCACGCCTCCTAGCCTCCTATTGGCTGTCTACGGAGGCGTGGGGGAGGCCGACCCAGCCTCTTCTCTTCCCGCCCCACAGCTGGCCTCGGACCCGGCCCTGCGCGGACAGCTGGCCCGCCTCTCTGCGGGCTCCTTCGCCCGCCTAGTGGAGCTGTTCTCCAGCCGGGAGGACAGCCCTCTTGCCAGCCTCCCACGCCCCAACTTGCCCTGCCCTGGGCCCCCGCCGCCTTCCCCGGAGCCCCTGGCCCGTCTGGCCCTGGCCATGGAGCTGAGCCGCCGCGTGGCCCGGCTGGGGGGCACCCTGGCCGGACTCAGTGTGGAGCACGTGCACAGCTTCGGACCCTGGATCCAGGCACACGGGGGCTGGGTGAGCTGCCAGAAAGCTTCTCTGGGCCTCCCTTTACCCATTTGTAACTTGTGTCCGTGTGATGGGGGGGGGTGGCTTCTTCGGCTTCTTTTCAGACGTGACAAATATTCTCCC